AGTTTGAGTACATATTTTTGAGGACATTGTAGAAGTTTCCAGTTATGCCATTTTTTGCGAGTTTGAGGAAAAGGGCTTGACGGCAGACTGAGTCGAATGCTTTTTTAAAATCAACAAATACTGCATATACAGGTTTCCCCAAAAGTTTATATTTTGAAGCTATAGTTTTCATGGTTAGTATGTGATCGTATGTTTGAGCTTTCTTTGTGAAGCCTAGTTGGTTAGGTGGATCAGGGCAGTTTTCAGAGCGGAAGCGAATGAGTCGTTCTAAGAGAATAGTTGAAAATAGTTTTCCTATGACACTGCTGACAGCAACTGCACGGTAGTTGTCAGGATCTGATTTATTACCCTTTTTATGAAGTGGAGATATAATGCTGACGTTCCAGGGATAAATTCCTTGTGAGAAGCAGGCGTTGAAGAGGTTCAACATAATCAATTTATGATTGGTGTCCAGAGATTTTATAATTTCGTTATTAATCATGTCGAGTGAGGAAGCTTTACCATTTTTTAGGGATTTTATACTAGAGTCAAGTTCTGTTTTGGTGATTAAGGAGTTGAGTGACTCAGGATGAGTTGCACCTTGATTTATCAAGTCAGCTTGATCAATCATAGAAACTTTTTTATTTTCATTTATTGTTTTGTGGTTATCAGAATATAGGTTACCAAAAAAAGTCTCGAATCTATTCATATCATGACTGTCAAAATTTAAAGTTTCCTTTTTCTGATTTTTTAGTTTTTTGAAAGATTGCCAGTTGAGAATTTTCCCCCCCTCTATGTCCTCATTCATACGTGCGAAGAATTCGTTTTTGGCAGAGTTCTTCAAACGCTTATAGCTACCCTTGACAAGATAATAGTTTTCACGTATAAGGTTGTTTGACGGGAATTTTGAGGTTGCATCTGTAGCTTTACGAAATTCTCTTTTACCTAATCTCGTTTTCCAGTTAAACCAAGGTTTGTTTGAGGTGTGAGATTTTTTGGGTGGTTTGGTTTGTTTGAAACACTTCGAGGCCATGTCGCGAAGGTGTTCTGAAAGTCGTTTGTTAATGTCTTTGAGTTCAGTTTCATAATTACGGTCATTGTCTGCTAAAATATTTTGATTGGTGAGTAAGTCGATGTTCGATTGAAGTTCATGGATTAAGGTCAATGATAGATTTTCTGACTGAGCTTCGAAAAAGTCGTCTTTGTTCTCTTCGTTGATAATGTATCTGGTTGGCGCTGTCTGATAAGTGTCCTGTAATGGGGCGCATTTGTTGATCGCGAATCTATTGCATTGTAATTCAGTACTGAGGGGCTTATGATCAGAATGCTCGGTGAATGTCAAGATTTTGAAGTAGTTGATTCTGATCTTTGTGGAGTTGGTCACTGCAATGTAATCAATAACGCTGCACCCATTTTTTTGGATACTTGTGAAGTTTCCTACAAGATCTCCTAGGGTACGGCCATTCAGAATAGTGAGTTGGTTATGTTTGACTAGGTTAAGAAAGTGTGTACCGTAAGTATTTGTGATAGAGTCTAGTGAGTTTCGGGGGAGAAAGTTGTCAGGCTCATAATCGTCTGGTAAGGGAACAACGTTGGTTGAGTCTTCTCTTATCATACCCGTTTTTTGTCCTATACGAGAGTTAAAGTCCCCACACAATATGACTTCGCCCTCCTCCCGAAGTTCGTTCACAACGTCTTCAATGTTTTTTAGAGCATCTTTGCCATTGTCAGTCGGGTTTGAGGCTGATGAATTAAATGGTCTAATGTAAACGTTAACTATGAATGTATCTTCTGATAGGTTAAAGAAATCCTTGTCTAGTCGACAAACTAGGTAGTCTGAACACTCTGTATTTTTGATAAACTCAATCCCTTCAATAAGCTCATTTTTAATGAGGATACCGACACCTCCTGATTTACCGTCTTTCCTTATGTTGCAGATTGATCGATATCCTACCAAGTGAACCTCTCTCCTAATTTCCTGAAGACAGGCTATGTCATGATCTTTGATAACATTTTGAAATGATTCTATTTCAAATTTGCTCCCATCTACTGATGAAGGCGATTGGATATTCCAAGAAAGTATTTTTATGCTATTTTTATTAATTGAAACCTGTGTATTTTTTTTTGTGTTTCTAGTCATGGTATAATGTGTATAAATGAGAATCTATGTCAGTGTAATCACATTCGACTAAGAGGAGAAGGTTCCAATCCCCCTGTAGAACGGACTTTCTTTGGCTTGTTGAGAAGCAGTCTTGTCATTTCATGGATGCTGTGACGGAAGTTTCCTAGAATGACCTCTTTGCCTCTTGTTGAAAGGTGGACTCCATCGTTCGTGTGATATTCTCCTATCAGATGATCATCATGCATGAAGTTTGCGTTGGGGTTATAATACAAAGACCGCTCTTTGAAGGGTTTGCGTTCGTTTTTATTAGTTACGGTCACAAATTCCCAAATTGCATCCCTTATCTCCCCAATCCTTGCGTTCGCTTCATTGTCAGATGTCATTAGCGGCATTGAGAAGAATAACTTTGTACCTATCAGGGATTCCTCTACGAATAGTGAAAATTGAAATATGTTGTCGAGACTTACCCTTAGGTCGAAGTTTTGGTTGGCATCATTGACTCCTAGGTGAACATAGATGAAATCAGGTTGTGTTCTTAATAATTCGTCTTTGACATGTTGGTCTTTAAGTCCACCTGTGTCCCGCTTGTTGATTAGGGTCAATTCATGGTTCTTTCCGAGAGCATTCTTGGTGTCCATACCCTGGACATGTCTCAGGATTGAGTCTGAGATGAGGGTCGTCTTGAACACTTTTGAGGGTGTGGTGGATCCTGAGGTTTGACGAGTGGTGAAGTCGGAGTTCTGAGTCCTGGTGAAATTGAGGTTCTGAGTTCTGGTAAAGTTGGAGTTCTGAGCTTGAGTAGAGATCTGAGCTCGAGAGGCCGAGGAAGTCATGCTGAATCCATTGTTTCTTCGGGACAGCAGGTTGTTTTCTCTACTGTGAGTTCTTTGATCTCGAAAGGGTGAGGGAGGTTGGTAGGGTGGAGTGTGTGATAAATCATCGTCATTAGGGGAATAGTCAGGTGGGACATCGGTTCTCACGCCATTCCATCCTTCTGACTGAGTGACTATTTTGTGAATTTCTTTAATCAGCTGTCCGTCTTCCCGAAAGAATGCACTGTTGTAGTAGTTTTTGAGGTCAAACTTTAGTTTTTGAACACTTTTGTCTACTTCGTCCGTTTTCGTTTCCGCTATAGAAATCTCCGGTGTAATGTGATATGTATGTACTACGGCTTTACAAATTTTGGAAGCATGTAGGGATATAGATCTGATACCAATCGTATATACAGGGTGTACCGTAGAAAGTGTGACTTTTTTCCACTTCTGTAATTTTTTTACAAAATCAAACTTCATAGTTATTTTTAACTACATTTTGTTGGAAATATATTTGAATTAATGATAGTAATAAAAAATATGGTTAATAGTGAAGCACCTTCCAAAAAACGCCACCCTTCCCAAAAATTAAATATTTTAGTCTGAAATTGACATTATTCATGGCTGAGGTCCAAGATTTTCAAAATATAATAAAAACGTTTTAAAGACCTTCCTCAAAATTCTGCCCGGTCAATCTCTTCTAAATGATCCCTAACACATATTTTGAAAGTTTCAGGGTGATTAATCAAAAACAGTCGGAGAAAAAATATTTTTAGACTCGATTTTCACTACGCCAGATAAACTCGATTTTCACTACGCGTGATAGAAAATCGCTCGCACAATACAATTACTTATGAGCGCTGACCTTTGACCAGCGATAACTTCGGCTAGGAACAAAATTTTTTGATAGGAACAAAAGCAGATGATAGACATTACTCTTTACTGTCAAAAATAGCTAAAATATTGATTTCGAAAATTTTTTTCTTGGGACCCCTAAATTACAGCAAGCTTAAGTTCCTAAATTAGCACCACAACAAAATAGCAATTTGTGAGAAATCAAAAATTGATGGGGACTTGAAATTTGGTATGCATAAATTCGACACCTAGTGACACAATGTGATGAAGAGTTTTTAGCAACTGCTCCTTCATAATATTTTGTATCATTTCTCAAAAAAGTCACACTTTCTATGGTATGTACTAAAAATAATCTAGCACAATTATCGTAACTGCAGTTTTACAGAACTCTAAATGCTTAATGAACACTCTTGCAGGTACCACCCGTATTCACACTCAGACCTGAGTTTAATCATTTTCCGATACGAGATTGGGGACGGGTTCTAAAACAAGAACAGTTCCACATTCCTCACCAGAGTAGCTATTACAAAATGACACAAAAGGACTCGTAATGCCGTTAATTAAGGGAGGTCCATCCTGTCTGTTAACTAATCGGCTGTAAGGAGCTGCAGGACGGCCGACGGTTTAGGATTGATCCAGGGCACATGCGTGCAGTTATGCAGTATGCAACGAATTAAATGGCCGGGTGCTATACTACATGCAATAGGTGAGCGTGTGCGCCGCGCACATCACATGACCAATTGCGCGAAATTACAGATTGTTTCTATTTATAAAAGTCACCGCGCGCTACAACTTATGTGAAATCCCGGGCAGCTTCGTAGATGTTTCATTCTCAGAATTGTAAGCGAATGTCGCCCCAGTTCAGATACAAAATGGCAAATGTTACAATTTCGCCAGAACACCTCTTACCTGGAGTCTAATGAGGTTTTGGCGCTGTCCAACCAAATGTTGAACAGATAAACTTTCATAGTCCAGGCAAGCAATCTACCGACATGGATCATGTTTGAGTAATTAGATTTCTGCAATACATTGTCACAGTTCGGATGAAAAATAGTGCCCGAGACCTAATTCGAACCCGGACCTTCAGCATGCGAGGCGATCTTACAATTTGCTTACAATTCTGGGAAATACACCGGGGCGACATTCTTACAATTTCGCTAGAACACCTTCTCGGGCAGCTTTATGGGGAAATCACTGACCTTTCGCGAAATATCTTCGATTTAGTATCTTACCTAGGGTTTGAATAGCGAAATCGTCATTCATCTTCTCACTAACAAAGTCAATAAACTCGTCATATACCTCCGCCTTCTCGTCAGCCATCACAAGTTCTTTAAAACGACGACGATATTCTTTGATCTATAATGGCATATTTAAATACAGCGCGGCACAAGTTCAAGTGTAAATTGAATTTTATAATCGAATATAGGAATTCAATCTAGTGATCGCAAATAGATATAATTGTTACGAACCTGATCATCAAAGGTCTTGAGGAAGCTACTAATAACTAGTGTAGACAGTGTTTGAAAGAAGAGGTCGTGTTTAATCTCCACAGCAGCTTGCACCCTAGCTAGGAACTCCTTAGCTCTCATCAGTTCACACTTCCGCTCTATCAGGTAGTGGATGTAGTCGGATTGTTCCGTATTGTACTCTTCTAACTTTGATAGTACAGTCGGTAATCTGAGGAAATCAATTGTTTAGGTGACCCGTTTTATGGACTTTACCACAAGAAAGCCTGATAAGTAATGCATAATACAGATGTAGTACCAGATATTTAGTAAGCTAAGGTAAGGCACAGAGTGGTAAATATAAATATGTTCTAGTGATTTATTACTTACAATCTAGGAGGTATTTGCTTGAGTGCAATTATAGCTTGTTCAATTTGTACAGAGTTTTTACTGTTGTGTACACCTGCATCTGAGTACTCACTGGAATATTATAGGAATGTGAGATAGGAATGTTAATGGGAATATAAGATAAGAATGTTATACTCTTATAAAAGTAGAATTTGATATTTTTCTTATCTGTTTTAGTATTTGATACGTTTCTTATCAGAGGAAATTGAATATAATAAATGACCAGTTGAATGTTGAAAGTCACGTGATATTACCTGTGAAGGTATTCTAGTAGCTGCTTGTGCTCGGAGGTGACGTCATCATCAACAACTAATGCTGACACTCCCGATGAGGGTGATAAACTGAACAACATTGTTAAGATAACAACAACATTGTTAAGATAACAACAACAACAACATTGTTAAGATAATAACAACAACAACATTGTTAAGATAACAACAACAACATTGTTAAGATAACAACAATAACAACATTGTTAAGATAACAACAAGAACAACATTGTTAAGATAACAACAAGAACAACATTGTTAAGATAACAACAACAACAACATTGTTAAGATAACAACGACAACAACATTGTTAAGATAACAGCAACAGCAACATTGTTAAGATAAGTTTCTAGATAAGTTTAGATAAAATTCATGGAAATAAGTTTTAAACATTCATCACATAGTGATTACATATCCCCATAATAACAAGAACACATGCTATATACTTGTTAAAATGACAGTGACAGAGAGACAATACATCACTTACTAATATTAGATATACAGTATCTACAGTAAACATCCCACCTGATAAGATCAATAGTAGTAGCAGGAGCAGATACACCTATCTTAGGGTAATAGGACTTGTAAAAGTGAGGAAAGAGGGAGAATGCTATCTTCAGTTTGTTGATGGCGTTCTGCAGAATCTGATCTTCGCTCATTGCTGGTTGTACGTTCTGGTTCTTAAATAGAGTCCTGATTAGCGGTGTGCTTATTTGTTATCTTACTTATTTGTTATCTTATTTATTTGTTATCTTACTTATTTGTTGTCTTACTTATTTGTTATCTTACTTATTTGTTATCTTACTTATATGTTATCTTACTAATCTGTTATCTTATTTATTTGTTATCTTATTTATTTGTTATCTTACTTATTTGTTATCTTACTTATTTGTTATCTTATTTATTTGTTATCTTATTTATTTGTTATCTTATTTATTTGTTATCTTACTTATTTGTTATCTTACTAATCTGTTATCTTACTTATTTGTTATCTTACTTATTTGTTATCTTATTTATTTGTTATCTTATTTATTTGTTATCTTACTTATTTGTTATCTTATTTATTTGTTATCTTACTTATTTGTTATCTTATTTATTTGTTATCTTACTTATTTGTTATCTTAAAACACATGTTAAATGTTAATACAGAATACACATGTTAATATACACAATCTTAAAACAAACTATCTTTACCAATGAACTTGATGGATTACAAAGAGCGGCAAATACAAAGCCAATATATTACTCTAGGTAGTAACATTTCATATTGAGTAGCGAGTTAATAAGATAAGGTGGACATTACAACTGTACACACTACACAGTATTGTGAATACCGCATGTACTATCTACACAGTATTGTGAATACCGCATGTACTATCGGTAACAAATACAAGGTATTTAGGTTTCGGGTTACACAGATTGTTATCTCAGATAAGGTTGTACTAAGACACAGTGAGCTTACTAGAACTGTAGATTATTATTCCTTACTGGACACTGGTGATTATGAAACATAATATCACCGTGTTAGTTTTACTACACACCTCAACCATCCATCTGTAAACTTTAGAAAAGATATTAAAATTATATTACGATATTACATCTATTTTACAAACCTGATACACATACTCCGATGAGATGATATCAATAGGTAGCTCATGTTCTGATATTGAGAGTCCCTGTAGATTTGTACCACTCAACCGGCTGAGACTACAATGGCTGGGAGGACACTGGTTTTAAACACTTTTAAACACAACATAGTGTAAACACAACAAAACAATCTCATTAATCTAATCTCATAATATTATGATAATATGGTGTTTACAGAAGATATTTGTATGTTTTACCGGTGCCGTGTTATGGCCCCAGAAATACCTGTTGTTACTATAATAATACCTGTTGTTACTTATACTAGTTATAATACCTGCTGTTACGAAGAAGGGACCCCTCGTGTATACCACTATCAGTAAGACTGGGACTAGGCTCGTAGAAGAAGCCTCCTGTTTTGTTGTTCATGTTGACTCGTAGTATTGTAGATCTGTTATCTACTGAACCTGGGGGGGGAGGGGGTAATAACTAATTAACCTGTTATTAGCTAATTAACCTGTGTTCACTTTATTCATATAATATATGATGCTGTATAAGGCAAATAGCTAATGCTAATGGTACAATACATAATATTAAAACAATTGTTAATTACTTATAATTGGATAAACAGATCCAATCGGATCACACAAAACAACCTATCTGAAATCAGGCACATTAGATCACAAAGAGCGCTCAGTGCTATATCAAGCTACTGATACAAGCTCCCTTAATACACTAACGAGTAGGCAACCTGATTAATACACTAACAAGAAGGGAACCTGTATCTAATATAGCATTAATTGAGGTTGTGGACTGGACATCTGTGATAGCAGCTGTGAAACTAGTATTAATATATCTATCTGGTAAGTAATATTACTACATCATTGTAACTCAGCTGGAACCAGTTTAAAGTACAGTTTTACAATCCAATGTGTAAGGATAAATACATCAAGTAAAAAGTAAAATATTCAGTGACAGACCTATAGCAGAGTCAGATGTGGAAGTTTCAAAGTTGTCCAGATTAAAGGCGTTCTGTTCCACAACAGGGGTCCTCACTTCCTCTCCTGTACTCTCCTCTCCTAGTAATATACAGGTAATATACAGAGACAACAACAGGTAATATACAGACACAATACAGCCAACATGTGGGATCAGGCGGAGGTATCTTACTTCCGTTTTCATAATCTAGGACATGAACTGAACACGTTGTTCAACAAATATTGTTGCAAAACGCTCGATTAGAATTCTATCCCTCGGTATTTTCTGTTCCACGGAGCTACATTACATCAGCTATGGTACACAGTACACACTACACACTGTATCAGCTATATAATACTTAATCTGTACTTATATACACATAAAAAGCCGGTGTTGATAAGATCTTTGAAATTCTTTGCATCATTTTCTTTAAATACATCATTATCTTAAATATGAGTTATATATGAGGTACAGTATTATTACTACAGTATAGCTACATGAGCTACATTACATGAGCTACATTACATGAGCTACATTACATCAGCTACATTACATCAGCTACATTACATCAGCTACATTACATCAGCTACATTACATCAGCTACATTACATCAGCTACATTACATCAGCTACATTACATCAGCTACATTACATCAGCTACATTATATCAGCTACATTACATCAGCTACATTACATCAGCTACATTACATCAGCTACATTACATCAGCTACATTATATCAGCTACATTACATCAGCTACATTACATCAGCTACATTATATCAGCTACATTACATCAGCTACATTACATCAGCTACATTACATCAGCTACATTATATCAGCTACATTACATCAGCTACATTACATCAGCTACATTATATCAGCTACATTACATCAGCTACATTACATCAGCTACATTACATCAGCTACATTACATGAGCTACATTACATCAGCTACATTACATCAGCTACATTACATCAGCTACATTACATCAGCTACATTACATCAGCTACATTACATCAGCTACATTATATCAGCTACATTACATCAGCTACATTACATCAGCTACATTATATCAGCTACATTACATCAGCTACATTACATCAGCTACATTACATCAGCTACATTATATCAGCTACATTACATGAGCTACATTACATGAGCTACATTACATCAGCTACATTACATCAGCTACATTACATGAGCTACATTACATCAGCTACATTATATCAGCTACATTACATCAGCTACATTACATCAGCTACATTACATCAGCTACATTATATCAGCTACATTACATCAGCTACATTACATCAGCTACATTACATCAGCTACATTATATCAGCTACATTTCATGAGCTACATTACATGAGCTACATTACATCAGCTACATTACATCAGCTACATTACATGAGCTACATTACATCAGCTACATTATATCAGCTACATTACATCAGCTACATTACATCAGCTACATTACATCAGCTACATTATATCAGCTACATTACATCAGCTACATTATATCAGCTACATTACATCAGCTACATTATATCAGCTACATTATATCAGCTACATTACATCAGCTACATTACATCAGCTACATTACATCAGCTACATTACATCAGCTACATTACATCAGCTACATTACATCAGCTACATTATATCAGCTACATTACATGAGCTACATTACATCAGCTACATTACATCAGCTACATTACATCAGCTACATTACATCAGCTACATTACATCAGCTACATTATATCAGCTACATTACATCAGCTACATTACATCAGCTACATTATATCAGCTACATTACATCAGCTACATTACATCAGCTACATTACATCAGCTACATTACATCAGCTACATTACATGAGCTACATTACATGAGCTACATTACATCAGCTACATTACATCAGCTACATTACATCAGCTACATTACATCAGCTACATTACATCAGCTACATTACATCAGCTACATTACATCAGCTACATTATATCAGCTACATTATATCAGCTACATTACATCAGCTACATTACATCAGCTACATTACATGAGCTACATTACATGAGCTACATTACATCAGCTACATTACATCAGCTACATTACATCAGCTACATTACATCAGCTACATTACATCAGCTACATTACATCAGCTACATTACATCAGCTACATTATATCAGCTACATTACATCAGCTACATTACATCAGCTACATTACATCAGCTACATTACATCAGCTACATTACATCAGCTACATTACATCAGCTACATTACATCAGCTACATTATATCAGCTACATTATATCAGCTACATTACATGAGCTACATTACATCAGCTACATTACATCAGCTACATTACATCAGTTACATTATATCAGCTACATTACATCAGCTACATTACATCAGCTACATTATATCAGCTACATTACATCAGCTACATTACATGAGCTACATTACATCAGCTACATTATATCAGCTACATTACATCAGCTACATTACATCAGCTACATTACATGAGCTACATTACATCAGCTACATAACATCAGCTACATTACATCAGCTACATTATATCAGCTACATTACATCAGCTACATTACATCAGCTACATTACATCAGCTACATTACATCAGCTACATTACATCAGCTACATTACATCAGCTACATTACATCAGCTACATTACATCAGCTACATTACATCAGCTACATTACATCAGCTACATTACATCAGCTACATTACATCAGCTACATTACATCAGCTACATTACATGAGCTACATTACATGAGCTACATTACATCAGCTACATTACATCAGCTACATTACATCAGCTACATTACATCAGCTACATTACATCAGCTACATTACATCAGCTACATTACATCAGCTACATTACATCAGCTACATTACATCAGCTACATTACATCAGCTACATTACATCAGCTACATTACATGAGCTACATTACATGAGCTACATTACATGAGCTACATTACATCAGCTACATTATATCAGCTACATTACATCAGCTACATTACATCAGCTACATTACATCAGCTACATTACATCAGCTACATTACATCAGCTACATTACATCAGCTACATTACATGAGCTACATTACATCAGCTACATTACATCAGCTACATTACATCAGCTACATTACATCAGCTACATTACATGAGCTACATTACATGAGCTACATTACATCAGCTACATTACATCAGCTACATTATATCAGCTACATTACATCAGCTACATTACATCAGCTACATTATATCAGCTACATTACATCAGCTACATTACATGAGCTACATTACATCAGCTACATTACATCAGCTACATTACATCAGCTACATTACATCAGCTACATTACATCAGCTACATTACATCAGCTACATTACATCAGCTACATTACATCAGCTACATTACATCAGCTACATTACATCAGCTACATTACATCAGCTACATTACATCAGCTACATTACATCAGCTACATTACATCAGCTACATTACATCAGCTACATTACATCAGCTACATTACATCAGCTACATTACATCAGCTACATTACATCAGCTACATTACATGAGCTACATTACATCAGCTACATTACATCAGCTACATTATATCAGCTACATTATATCAGCTACATTACATCAGCTACATTACATGAGCTACATTACATGAGCTACATTATATCAGCTACATTACATCAGCTACATTACATCAGCTACATTACATCAGCTACATTACATCAGCTACATTACATCAGCTACATTACATCAGCTACATTACATCAGCTACATTATATCAGCTACATTATATCAGCTACATTACATCAGCTACATTACATCAGCTACATTACATGAGCTACATTACATGAGCTACATTATATCAGCTACATTACATCAGCTACATTACATCAGCTACATTACATCAGCTACATTACATCAGCTACATTACATCAGCTACATTATATCAGCTACATTACATCAGCTACATTACATCAGCTACATTACATCAGCTACATTACATCAGCTACATTATATCAGCTACATTACATCAGCTACATTACATCAGCTACATTATATCAGCTACATTACATCAGCTACATTACATCAGCTACATTATATCAGCTACATTATATCAGCTACATTACATCAGCTACATTACATCAGCTACATTACATCAGCTACATTACATCAGCTACATTACATCAGCTACATTACATCAGCTACATTACATCAGCTACATTACATCAGCTACATTACATGAGCTACATTACATCAGCTACATTACATGAGCTACATTACATCAGCTACATTACATCAGCTACATTACATCAGCTACATTACATGAGCTACATTACATCAGCTACATTACATCAGCTACATTACATCAGCTACATTACATCAGCTACATTATATCAGCTACATTACATCAGCTACATTACATCAGCTACATTACATCAGCTACATTACATCAGCTACATTATATCAGCTACATTATATCAGCTACATTACATCAGCTACATTACATCAGCTACATTACATCAGCTACATTACATCAGCTACATTACATCAGCTACATTACATCAGCTACATTATATCAGCTACATTACATGAGCTACATTACATGAGCTACATTACATCAGCTACATTATATCAGCTACATTACATGAGCTACATTACATGAGCTACATTACATCAGCTACATTACATCAGCTACATTACATCAGCTACATTACATCAGCTACATTACATCAGCTACATTATATCAGCTACATTACATCAGCTACATTACATGAGCTACATTACATCAGCTACATTACATGAGCTACATTACATCAGCTACATTACATGAGCTACATTACATCAGCTACATTACATGAGCTACATTATATCAGCTACATTACATCAGCTACATTATATCAGCTACATTACATGAGCTACATTACATGAGCTACATTACATCAGCTACATTACATCAGCTACATTACATCAGCTACATTATATCAGCTACATTATATCAGCTACATTACATCAGCTACATTACATCAGCTACATTATATCAGCTACATTACATGAGCTACATTACATCAGCTACATT